ATCTGCCAAGAATTGACGCATTGATGGTTGGTGAATTTGTTGCACTAAACCCCGATTGCTGCTCTGCGGAGCAGAGAAACGACAAAGCATCTATGTAAGTACAGTGCATTTAGTATTACAATGTAGTAATAAACATAAAACTGATACAACATATGAATAAGTGTAATAAAGTTGCGTAGGTTAATTTCTTTCGGCACTTTAATCCACAACTTTCCTGGAGTCTTCAAGGATGTGTTTTTATATTCTCGTACAATACAGTAATGATAATTACTTTATTTTTCGTGGTATTTATTAGAAATCATGTTTTTTTTTTATTATAAACTCAGTTTTAAGTAATTTTCTACGTGTTTACGAGTTTTTGTTTACCACAGTTCACGTCATAGCATAGATAATCTATAGACTAAAATGGCCGACAGCGTTTTTGTATGTCCATGAAAAGTCTATTTTAAAATTAAAGATTTCTAGCTTTCTAGGTTTAAAAAAAATACATTACATTTTTTTTCGGTATAATAGAACATTTATTAACCATTTAAAACCTTTTTCCAAAAAGGGTCAACTAGCCTATTACAACTTTATTTACAAAAATTCTCAAAACAGACATAATGGTGTGGGAATTTTAGTCAAACTTGGTTTCTATGAGTCTATACAAAATGTAGGTATATCTATTAAAACTCAGTCAGGTGACATATCCATCTTATGTATATACTGTCCACCCAACAGTACTCGATTTGATAATAAATTAAATAATATAATAAACAGTATTCCTAAACCATGCATTATCATGGGTGACTTTAATGCCCATCACATAGCTTTTGGATGTCAGAGTAGTAACAATAGGGGCAATAGTTTTTATAGTATTATAAATGACTTTGATCTATGCATCTTAAATGATGGCTCTCCAACCCCTTGTCCATATCCCAATAGACAAGCCTCAGCAATAGACATAGCACTTGCTACTTCTTCAATAGCCCACTTATGCGATTGGCATGTCCATTCTGACCCCATGGGTAGTTACCACTATCCAACTTTCCTTCAGCTTAACATTCAACCATCTCTGTATGAAGTTTCACCTGTAGAAGAAAAATATATTTATAGTAAAGCTGATTGGTTTAAATTCTACACAATGTCTGAAACCTGTTTCTCTGAATTGGATACTAAAAATGGTTTTGCATTGGAATTGTATAATAATTTTGTAAATATTTTAAAAAAACAGAATACCACCCCTAACATCCACAGAAAGCCAGCTCCAGGTGGAACCCGAAATGTGCGGCTGCTGTTAAAAAATCCAAAGAGGCATTAAAGTTTTACAAATCAAACCGAACTATAGACAATTTTATTAAATATAAAAAACTTGATGCTCTAAAGAAAAAAAACTATAAAAGAGGAAAGTAGGGAATACTGGAAAAATCTATGCAGTAGCTTTGACAGATTAACACCTATCTCTAGAATATGGAAATACATTAAAAAGTTTAAAAGTCTTAACAAACATTTTGAAGATGAATGGGTTCCAAGTTTCTTAGACAGCTTATCAGACTATTCTGACAACGATGAGGAAAGACTTATAAGTTTACTAGCTGACCCAGCGAACTTCGTACCGCCCTAAAAAAATAGGGGTTGTCCAGCGGACAAAACTGTGAATCTAAACAATTCTCAGATCCCCTTGAACACACACAAAAAATTTCATCAAAATCGGTCCAGTGGTTTAAGAGAAGTTCAGTGACATACACACTCACAGAAGAATTATATATATAAAGATTTAATAATTCGAAAGAAAATCAAATAAATTCCTTTTTGAATCAGCCATTAACGAAAAATGAACTGAACATATCATTACAAAGTAGAAAAGACACTACACCAGGTCTTGATAATTTACCCTATATTTTGATTAAGAAAATTCATTCAAAAGCACAGGACATTTTACTTAAAATTTACAATAAATTATGGCAAGAACTCATTATTCCTCTGACTTGGAAAACACAATGTGTTATACCAGTATTAAAACCAAATAAACCTAATAACATTGCTTTATCCTACAGACCCATATCACTATCATCATGTTTGGGAAAGCTCTTTGAAAATATGTTGAAGCTATGCTTAGACTACTTTTCTGAGGCTAATAACATAATTCCACCAATTCAGCATGGTTTCAGGAAAGGTCGGAGTTGCTCTGAAAGTTTTGTATCTTTAATACATGACATTAAACAAGTAAAATTAGGTCACTCAAACATATGTTTTCTTAGACGTAAAGGGAGCATTCGATAATGTAAATATACAAGAACTAATACAGGTTCTCCATGATGTTGGAGTACCTGGTAAAACATTAAAATGGCTTTATACATTTCTCAGTAATAGGACAGTTTATGTCAAATTCAATAATAGGCTGCATGGACCAAGAAATGCTAACAAAGGTACAATGCAAGGTGCAACTCTCTCTCCATTACTGTACAACTTGTACACCTCAGAAATATTAAAATATGTAAATACTGTCCATGTAAATTTTTTACAATTTGCCGATGACTTGCTTTTGTACAGCATTAATCAAAACATAATATAGCTCAAAACAATATCAATACTGCTTTAGAACAATTACATGCCTATAATTGTAATAAGCTGAGACTACAAATTAGTCCAGAAAAAAGTTCAGCCTTAGTTTTTAGTAAAAATAGTAATAACCTTGACATTTCATTTGACAATAATAAAATCCATATAGTAAATGAGCATAAATTTTTAGGTGTAATTATTGACAACCAATTAAAATTTGACAAGCACATACGTCACATTAGTGCCAAGGCATTGAAAGGTATCAACATTTTGAGGTTTTTGGCTGGAACATTCTGGGGTTCAGATCCCAGAATAATGAGCATGTTGTACAAAAGCATAGTCAGAAGCCATTTCGATTATAGTAGCTAAGCTTATAACAATGCTAGCGCTCTCTGCTAAAAAGGCTTGATGTAATACAAAACATTGGCTTAAGGTTAATATGTGGTGGAATGAGGTCTTCACCTATTAACTCTTTGGAAATAGAAACATGTATACCTCCTTTGTTCCTTAGGCGTTTACAGTTGGAAGAAAGATTTTGCTTAAAAACTTTGTCATCATTTAACATCCTCTCCAAAAAGTTTGAAAGCATTTGCAATATTCTTCAGTCAGCATCAGCTGTATATATAACAGCTGAATCACTTGCCACTGCTCATGAAATTATAAAAATATACACTCATGTTAAAAATCAGTCTCAAAACATACATAAAAGTGATATTTGGCCAGTTTATATATGCCCTTTCAAAGGGCTCATTAATGTTAACACTGATACAGTTTACTTAGGTAATATATTAAATAAAAATGACTTTATGCAATTTAAAGCTATAAAATCTGATAGCTATTTTATTTATACAGATGGCTCAAAAAAGAATATAATGTTAAGGCTGCTTTATATGATCCACAAGACAATTATACTTTGACCATTCAATTAGATTCTCAGTGCAGTATCTTTACAGCTGAATATTATGCAGTATATCAAGCATTAGTTTTTGTAAATAAGAAAAGTTTTGTAAATAGTGTAAATATAATAATAGTTACTGATTCTAAAAGTGTATTAGTAGCACTTCTAAATGGGCTCCTATGTTTTAAAAGTAATTACATTTTGTATAATATTGTACATTTAATAGAAGAACTTAAGAAATAAGTACATTAATGTGGAATTTTGTTGGGTTCCTTCACACAGTGGCATAGAAGGCAACGAAATAGTAGACAGTCTCACACACCTCCAGATCCTGATGAAAACCATAGCGACATTTTGAAAGTTCCTTTCACAGATTTCAAACCGATCTTCAGGAATAATTTGTACAAGTTATGGAAGGATTACTGGAATATCACATTACAGTTTAAAGGAAAATGGTTAGCAGACATTCAGAAGGATATCCCAAATAAACCTTGGCATGAGAGGTTCAAATACAGAAGCAGAAAATTTATATCAGTTATTTTCCGTATGTGTCTCGAACACTGCCTGACTCCAACACACATGCACAGGATCAAGATCTTTAGCAGTGCTCAATGTCTCCATTGTAGAGAAGAAAATGCAGACCTGGATCACTTAATAATGACCTGCCCAAAGTTTAATTTACAACGGTTAATATTGGTTAGCGAAGTGAGTGACATTTGTGAATTGCTTAGCAACTCAGATTTTTATTTACCATTATTTAATTTTATAGAAAATACTGTAGATAAAATTTAGTTTACAATAGATTATTTTTGATATTGTAAATAATTAAATAGAAAGAAGTCCAAACTTCCTTTTTTAAATTTGTCATACTTTTGTTTATTAATGATTCTTATTAATTTTGTTCAATTTGTTTGTTTTTTTTTACAATTGTTATTTTAAAATTCTGTCATTGTCTTGTATTACCTATGTATACGACTGGAGGACTTGTATCCATGGTCATGAATAAATAAATAAAAAAAAAACATAATCAGAGTTTTGAACGCAAGCTTGATTTGACGGGTTTTTGGCGGGATTTCATCGAGTGTGTTTGGCGTCTTATTTTAATTATTCTTAAATTCGTTCATAGTGGATATTGTGAAATAAAATTGGTGTGATTTTGTGATACAAGTCTGCGTAACTGATGAATAAGTAGAATCGTCAAAATATACGCTATTCCGGTCAAGTGGACGTGAGAATTTTATTGTAGTATTGTCTGCCTCACAGAAGCTTATCGAAAAAGCCAGCTCGATACATTTCGTGCCAAACACTTCAAGAAACATTAGAATGCGTCACACCGACATCCTAATGTAAAAAGGAAAACAGAATAATTTAACTTAAGACTACGCTGTATGGGCATTGTTCCCCTTGCCTTCCCTGAAAAGGGAGAACTTAACCAAAAAAAAAAAATCATCAAATGTCATAAAGTGTGCTTTAAGATTTTTATTCCTCGTATTCGTACCTCGTAATATCAGGTTTTAATTTACTGTCGGTGTATTCGTTTTAATTCTAGAAATATCCGGCAAAAAATATTAATTAAACGACGGATTAAACAATGATTTCATGTTTACCTTTTGGTTTTTGAGAGTTCAATAGGATAAAGAATTTATTAGCAGAACGTTTGACTACAAGATGTTTATTTTTATTAGAAAAGAAGTGCTTTGGGTTAATATAATTTGCTTGTTTTGTGTGTCATATGCCATACAAGTATCTGAAACTACAAAGGTGAAGTTATTCAGTGGAAATAATATTGAATACGATGAAGGGGGCAATGAGAATGGAAGAGAATTGTCGAGGTCAAAACGACTTAGTGCATTATCTGTAACTAATTCCACCGAATCAAATTCTACGGCAGGAAACCCAAATATAACAACACACAATAACATTTCACAGAGTTCCTCTTCAGAAAGCCCTCATCTAGTGTTTGAAATAGGCCCTTCTGATTCAAGTATCTTGTCTGTAGTGGCTGTGAATTCATCTTCATCGATGCCAATAGCTAATGCATCTGTTCCTAGTCCATCAGACCCTGCACCATTACCAGAGAAAAGTTCTGCTGAAGATGAACATAACAGTTCTATGGCTATCTTCTTCGTACTGTGTATTCTTGCCCTTGGAATATTATTAATACATCTCATGTTACAGACTGGTTTTTCATATTTACCTGAAAGTGTTGTTATTGTATTTCTTGGTGCATTGATAGGCATGATTATCAACCTCATGTCCATTAAAAACATTGCTAATTGGAGAAAAGAAGAAGCATTTTCACCAACTGCTTTCTTCCTTGTTTTATTACCTCCCATTATTTTTGAATCAGGCTATAACCTACATAAAGGTAACTTTTTCCAAAACATTGGATCAATACTGCTATTTGCCATTGTGGGAACTGCAATATCAGCTTTTGTGATTGGGGCTGGTATATATTTATTAGGATTGGCTCAAGTTGTGTATAAGTTAAGTTTTGTTGAGTCCTTTGCATTTGGTTCTCTGATATCTGCTGTTGACCCTGTTGCTACTGTGGCAATTTTTCATGCCCTGGATGTGGATCCTGTTCTTAACATGTTGGTTTTTGGTGAGAGTATACTCAATGATGCAGTTGCAATTGTTTTGACCACAGCAGTCTTGGATTCAAATGATCCTATCATGTCAACTGGAGAAGCTATTCTGTCTGCTATTCATCGTTTCTGGTTAATGTTCTTTGCCTCTGCTGGCATTGGAGTTCTCTTTGCTCTAGTCAGTGCTCTTTTGCTTAAACATGTAGACTTACGAAAAAATCCTTCACTTGAATTTGGAATGATGTTGGTTTTCACATATGCCCCATATGTATTAGCAGAAGGAATACATTTGTCAGGTAAGATATAGCATAATATGGGAAAGAGAATACATATATTATATTCTCAATTCAGATTCATTCTATTTCAAAATAATGATAGTGATCATTTTCAATTTGTTCATAAATCTAACTTATTGTTTCAGGCATAATGGCAATCTTGTTTTGTGGAATTGTAATGTCACATTATACTCATTTCAATTTGTCAACTGTAACTCAAGTCACTATGCAACAGACCATGAGAACTTTGGCCTTTATTGCTGAGACATGTGTTTTTGCATATTTGGGATTAGCTATATTCAGGTAGGTATTTCTTTTAAAGATTAGATATTATACAGTCACTGTGACATAGAGTGTAATCTTACATTCTTAAACAATCTTATCAGTATGGATATATTTTAGTTAAAATAAAAATAAAGCTGCATTTCGATTTTTGAAATGAAACGTAAGTTTGTTAAGTGTATGTTAAACATCCTTGAAATAATAGTAAATGATCACTTTAAAAATACATAATTGCAAACTTAAGTTTATATTAATTGTAAATGTTAGGTAAGATTGGGAGTTGTATTTTTTTTTGATCATTTACAATTTTTACAGTCTTTAAATTTGCTGTGATTGTTGTGGCTTTGGAGACTGCACCAGAGGAGTTTCAGAGTGAAACTGAATCCTTACGATGCTTCCCATGTTATCCCTCCTGAGTATACCTACACCTAGGCCCACTTAATGGCGTGTCAGATTTCTTCCTGTGTAAAACAATAGCATCAATGCTTCTTTCACCCTGTCTCAGCCCCCTAACTTCTTGTAAGATGTTGCTGTTATGTCTATTTTCCGCTTTGGAGCTCTTTGTTCACCACATATAAGCCACCAGGTTTATATAAATCATGTACATTCCAAATATTAATTTCGGTCCCTAATACATTTTGTCTTTGAGTTTTGTGAGCTGTCCGTTTAATTAAGTTTAATGTCAAGAGTTTAATTAGATTGCAGAACAAGCCATAAAAACAAATCTTTTTTTAAAAAAGTTAAAAAATTGTTACATATGTTTGAAAGATTGATAAATAGATAAAAAAATATGTCTTGATAAAATTGTTTTAATCTCTTTTCATTTATCTAAGTTCTCTTTTCATTATAACTATGTGTTAAACATATTGTTGAATAACTTTTTAATGACATTGAGTTTATCTTGAAATCAGTAAATATTAAATACAAATTAATTTATGTGATGCATTTATTTTACAGTTTTCGTCATCGTGTGGAACCAGCGCTGGTGGTATGGAGTATTGTGATGTGCCTCCTTGGTAGAGCTGCAAATATCTTTCCTCTTGCTCTTTTATGTAACAAGTTCAGAGAGCATAAGATCACAAAAAAGATGATGTTCATTATGTGGTTCAGTGGTAGGTTTTAAATTATATTATTTATATGAGACGACAGGTCCTTGACTGTATTTAGGTACTGCATACATTATTATTATTTTTATATGAGGTGCAGCAAATAAACCCACCCGACCTGATGTTAAGTGTAGGTAAAATGCAGTTGTGAAGATAGATGATGCAGAAAAAGTGTGCCCCGCCAGTCATCCTTACCTCGCCGACAACCCAATCCCCTACCGGAGGAGCTATGCAGAACCCTGGAACCCTACTTACCAGCAGAAACACAGCAATACCAACTGGGTACTGTTATTTAATTGTGATCTTCTGTAAGGTAGAGTTTGCTTCCCCAGACAGGCGCTCCATCTCTAGCGCAAAATCCGCTGTGCCCTACCTCTGTAACTATCGTCTAGAACATTTTACACATGTACAAAATAGGGTATGAAAAATAAAGTACCAATTATTGTCAGGGGCCGTTCAAGTATTACGTAAGCAGATTTATTACAATTATTTACCCCCTCCTCCCCTCGTCAGCAAAAGTAAGCAAAGCTCTTACCCCTCCCCCCCATCCTTACGTAAACATTGGTACCTATATGCATTTTTCCTTTAATGTATTCTGTTTTTTTATTGATTCATGAGCTTCATGAGCAGCAGTACTTAAAAAGGCTTAATCGATGATGCTGACGTAATCACCACCTCTACCCCCCACCCCCCCATGTCATCAAAAATAAGCAAAGCAAAGACCCCCTGCCCCCCTATAGTGCTTACGTAATACTTGAACAGCTCCTCATCTGTATTCTGGGGGAACAAACAATAATACCTTTTTTAAAAAATCAAATAGAAATGATTTTTGTTTTATAGTAACGTGGCCGAAAACGCCTGGGATTGGCAGAGACTAAAATGACTTCACATGTTAATTTTTTTTTACATGTTAAAATATCATAACACTAACAAACACCTTGGATTCGCACGACAGTCGCTAATTCATGTTTTTTTACTGAACAGAATGATGATGAATTGTACTTTTTATGGACTACTTAAACATTAGTAAATAACGCGAGATCGTTTTCTAAAACTTGCCTAATACCCTATTCTCTAATTTTTGTTTCAGGTCTTAGGGGAGCGATTTCGTATGCCCTGTCTCTACATCTTGGGTTTTCAGATGAAACACGTCATGTTATTATTACAACTACGCTTATTATAGTGTTGTTTACAACTTTATTCTTTGGTGGTTCTACAATGCCTTTATTGAAGTTTTTACGGGTGAATATTGATTTATTGTTCTTTAAACACTACACTTAGGAACTCTTCTACGCGAACGGCTTCTTATATTACAACTGCAAGCGCACACAATAGCCGCCGCATTTTACAATTTACAGCTTTAAAATGGAGCTCTCCTTCCGATATCTCAAATAAAAAAAAAATGTAGACAATGTCACTGATATGAAAAATGTCGTGATATTTGAGTATCTATAAAACGGGAGTAGATTTTATTTGATCCCGGAGACGATAAATTAAAATTGGCATCTCTAACGTTATTGACGGTTTTATTTGATAAGCGGCTTATTGATGGTGCCATCAAGTGCGCATACTACAGTCGCCTATCGACCGTGCCCGTGACATAATTGAAAATCCTCGCAAAAAAAAAAAACAGTCAAATGCGAGTCAGATTCGCGCACGAAGGGTTCCGTATTAAATATACAAAATTAAGCAATATCTTAACTAATATTATAAAGCTGCAGAGTTTGTTTGTTTGTTTGAACGCGCTAATCTCTGGAACTACTGGTCCGATTTGAATGATTCTTTCAGTGTTGGGTAGTCCATTTATCGAGGAAGGCTATAGGCTATATTTTTTTTTCATAATTAGGGATCCGTAATAAAATTGATATTTTGTAACACAAGGTGTAAAATCGAAAACCTATTTTTGCGTGCGCTGCAAAAACTATTGACAATAGAACAAAATGATGTACTACGGGTTTGTAGATCCCATTAAGACCTACAAAAAAGTCCGCAAGAACATATATCTAGCTATCATGGTTTAATCACAATAACCGATTTTGTGTTCAAAATAATTATTAAATCGTCTGAAGAAAAAAAACTACGTTAAATATGTATCGTTATATTAAAAACACAAACAACCCTTAATTTTCACCCCTCTACCACCCATATTTTTATGGCGATACGAAGTTCGCTGGGTCAGCTAGTATTATAATATCGAGCAAAAAATCTCTTCTGTTGAATGCTCCCCTCAAATGTTTACTTTATTTTATGAATTAAAAGTTAACAACTTAGTATTTTGTGAATATTTCAAGCGTTTAACCTATTCCCGCTATTAATATAGAACAAAAAACGGCAAAAATCACGTTTGTTGTATGGGGGCGTCCCTTAATGTTTTTATTCAGTTTATGAGTTATAACCTGGTGTCAGGCAGACAGAAGGACAGTGGAATCTTAATAATAGGATCTCATTTTTACCCTTTGGATACGGAAGATACCCTAAGATGATTTCCAACGCAGATAACGCCAGATCTGCTTTATCTACGATTGATAAATGAGAAAAAAAAGATAACTAAATCCACTACAGCCTAAAAAATTTTCACATTTTCCTTGTCGCTGCTAATTTTTTCAAATGTGAAATTTTGTTTAAATACTTTTTTTACTGAACATTGCTAAAGTCGCAGCGGACGGGAAATGTTTTGAATGTTCAAGAACAATGTTTGTTCAAAACATTCCGCAACACGCCTTTCGACCCCACTTAATTTGATTTACTTTCTTCTACCTAAACGAACTAGAACAATTTTCTTGTATCTTTTGACAGAGGGGAAATGAATGTAATGGCGTCTCCCATTATGGATACTCAAAGCTCGCGATGTATACTTATTACCCCCACTCTTCAAAATCGCTTGAAAGGCATACAGATCGTGTCAAACAATTATCATCTTCAGCATAATAATGTTGTCACTGCTCGGGAACACGCGGATTCCCGCGGGCTCTCGGAATGGGCTATGCTTGATCCCAGTAGATCTATTCTGTAAGAACAAACGCATTTTTCACCACGGAATCGGTGTGTGTTTTTTTATGCTAAAAGGGTGGAAAACAAGCATATACCCCGTCGGATGGCAAGAAGCCGCTATAGCCAATAGACGCTTGCGATACAAAGAATAGCACTCGCGCCGTTGCCTGCCCCGACCCCTGGAAGTTTACTCACCGACAGAAACACAACACCACCAAGAGGTAGTGTTATTTTACTGTGGTCTTCTGTAAGGCGAAAGCGGATTACATGGTGAAAAGTGAGTTTGTTCATGTAGAATAGAACTGTACCCCTAGCAGGAACCATTGACGAATTCGAATAATTTGCAAACCAAAATTTCAATGTCAAAGGAGAATGAGCAAAATGTATGGACATTGGGCTCGGAAGCGGCCACTTCAAAAACACTATTTTTAAGACTCATTATGATAAGAACAATACTTAGTATGGACAAAAAGTCCTATATTATCGGTAATAGTTATGACATCATATTGATGACGTAAACAATAGAAGTAATAAATTATTCAACAAGCGTTCCATTGTTGACTAAAATATTACCTGCTAGGTCTTTTCATTATTCCCTATATGCAGACGCCGCCGCTACGTTTTAACCTCAACCCCCTTTCCCCTCATGCGCCCGCGCACCCACAAGGGTGGAGGGGTTGTTGTATTCGGGTAGTTGTTTGTCGACTTGCTTCGTGATCAGCTGTGTTCTGTGCTCCCCTATTGCAGTTTTTATTCCCCAATCCATTTTTGATCGATTACATTGGTGATTGTGTGGTTTCTAATCATGAATTTGGAAACGGAACTACTTACATCTGTCGTGTTTGCTGGCAAAGAGCTGAACGTGCCCAATCAAGAAACCAACTTCAAGAACCGATTCCTGACCAAATTCCCAGAGCCGATGATGCCAATCATATATCAATACCAAACTTTAAACGTGTGCCAAATACAGTGATCAGAAGTGCGCATAAGAATTCCTCAACGTATCAAAACAAAAGTATTTTGTGATCACAATATATACAGACCCATCAATGCCAGAATATGCCAAGAATATTTACGATCTAACCATTGGGAAGTACTGATTGATTCACCTACTCTAATAAACTATTTCACCGTTGAACAAGTCGCAGATGTATTTGAGATGGTTAAACGTGCTTCCCAAGAAACAGCTTATTTCAATTTGGAAAACATTAATGACAATGATACAGATGAGTTCTTCTATTGGACTGGAGTGACACCGGCGCAATTTCAACAAATATTAGAAGAAACACCATTTTTAAGTCAAACGTGCAAAAGACCAAAAGTTGCTCTCTGCATCTACCTCAGCAAACTGAGAACTGAAGAATCAAATCTAAGGACTATCTAATCTTTTTTGTATATCTCGACGCACTTTTCAACGCAACGGTTCCTTAAACAAGCAATTGTCCAATAATTTTGTAACGCGTCACCTGGGAATTGACCATGTCACGAGAGAAGAACTAGAAAGGAGAAACCTTTTAATACCCAACAACATTTTTGGGAATCCAGGATCTGCAGAAAATAGGAAATTAATTTTTATATTTGACGGCACATATATTTACATCCAAAAAAGTTCTAATTTTTCATTCCAACGCCTTACATATAGTTTACATAAATTCCAAAACCTGTTAAAACCATTTATCATCACATGTAGTGATGGATACATAATGGACGTAGTCGGACCTTTTGCTGCAACAACTTCAGATTCAACTGTTATGACCCAATTAATGTCAGAAGATTCGGCGTTTCATTGGTTTTTTAAATCTGGGGATGTATTTATCTTGGACAGGGGATTTCGGGATTCATTGCCAAATATAGAATCTTGTGTTTATGAAGCTCACATGCCACCATCAAAACAAATGAATGAAACCCAGCTCTCAACTATCCAAGCAAACAAGTCGCGACTTGTTACAATTTGTTGATGGGTAGTTGAAGCTATCCATGGGCGTTTTAAACGAGACTTCAAGTTGTTGCGGCAAAAGTATTTTAATATGGCCGTGCCACATATGTTTCAGGATTTTAAGATTGCAGCCGCCCGCCCTCCTTAATACTTTTCGAGAACCTTTTGTCAATGGGCCTTATGCAAATGAAACATTAAACCAAATACATTTGAGAATAAATTCTACATTTATTCTCAAATGTATTTGGTTTAATATTTCAACTTTTTGGCCGACTACGTCATTACTAATAATTTAAATAGGCACCGGGTGAGCTTTATTTCCATATCTGCTGATGATTTAGCCGTTGGTGATTTTCCTCAGTTAGAAGAGAGAGATTTGACACTCTTTGCATTAGGTAGCTATCATATAAGGCTCGCTACTGTAGTGAACATTTACGGGATGGTGTGTACTTGATTGAAGTTATGAGAGATGATTCTGTAGATATCCCACATATAAATGGGGATTGTTATCTGAGGGCGTATTCAATCAAGACACACCAGAGCACGAGTATCTTATGTATATATAATAGTTAATAGAGAAGGAGTTGGAACAGAATGTATACCCCAATATTATTGTACATGCCTTACAGGAAGACGGACTTTGGGTTGCTGTGCTCACGTTATGTCAATTGTGTGGTACCTAGGGTGGGCACGGCACCAAGGAGCTCTAAATCTTACAGCACCATTTTTGGATGAAGTAATAATAAACGAAATAAATGAGTTTTAAAAATATTAAAATTTTATTTAATATCCTTCTCTCTCTCTCTACATAGAAACTGTGTTTACTGTTTTGATTCACTGTATTAGAGTTTGAAAACCACTTTAAAACATGATTATGCTATTTTTGGGTAACCAATGTAAAGAATATATGCCACGCGAACATAGTTAAGCGAAAATATATAAAGTACTAGCTTTCCGCCCACGGATTTCGCCCGCATGATCGTATGTCATGGGGATTCCTGTAGGATAAAAAGTAGACTGTGTTACTCAGGACTAATGTAGCTTTTTTAGGTGAAAGAATTTTTAAAATGGGCGCAGTACTTTTCGAGTTTATCTGTTACAAACAAAAAACAAATCTTTCCTCTTTGTAATGTTAGTGTAGATACACTATTTACTTTATTTCGAAAACTATACGAGATAGGTGTCCGAGTCCATAACAACTTTTCATCGTAATTATGTTTTCTATCAATTTTAATCACTTTTTGAAGTGGCCGCACCTTAGCCCATTTTGCCCATTCTCCTTTTGTATGGAAACTTGAACAGCAGCGGCACAAAGTACGTAACGAGAACTAAAAATCAGTACAAATTTGACAATGTCATTTCGGACTCACAAACGATACGAATTCGATTTTGGTTCGTGCTAAGGGTACTGCAGAGCGGATTATTGAGAGCTAGCTTCTGCAGATGCAACTCGTAAAATATTATACTTCGGCTTACGTGCCTTCCGTAGTGCGTATTCTTCGCCAAAGCTGTTTAACTTTCATGTTCGAAGACTGAACGGGCTAAGCAATGCGTAGCGAGCTCCTCTAAAATAATATGTATTCATTTATGCGAAAACATACCCCTGTTTCTGGTGCTACCCGATTGCACCAGAAACAGGGGTATGTTTTATGTAGGTATGTAATATGTTTATGTATTATAATAATTATGTCTTTTAAAACAAACAATTCCGTGTGTTTTACAGGCAAATAAAAAACCTAAGCGATCACGATCTTTACGCAAACAAAAGGAAGTCAGTCTGTCAAAAACGAAGGAATGGGGCCAAGCTATTGATTCTGAGCACTTGTCTGAAATAACTGAAGAGGAATTAGAGGTGGGTACTTAACTTGACTCTTTCCACTCCGATCAACTAAAAAAACAAATCAACATTTTTTCTTTCCTAACGGTACAACTATTTCGTTGGTCAGAAAGGAATATTATAAAAAACACATTTTAGTTCTGATAAGTGCAAATTTCACCCTGATTTATAAAACCTTTTCAATGTATGTCTCCCTTGATGACCCCACTAGGGAAGACATCAGAGTAAATTGAGCACCCGTATATCCCCTAGTCAAGCTTGCATTAAAACTATAAACATTTATAAAATCATTATTTGGAAAAAAGTACCAGGAGAGCATATATGACTGATAATAAAAATGAGAAAAAATCTGTTCTTTTTTTTTTTTTTTATAAAATAGATCTAATATTTAGTCTGATTTTGTGGCCAGTTTCTAAGGATGCTGTACCCTTGGTCACAATATTAGTTGTACCATCGAGAATGAAAAAAATAATAATTAAACACTCGAACAATTAGTTGCATTCATTGGAACAAGTACCTCAGTTAAGTTCCATTCAGCACAACTAGTTGATCGGTTCAGTTGACCGGAGTAGAAAGGGGGCTCAATTCTTTCAAGTACAAATTATGCGAACAATGATGGAAGTCTTGACACCTAATGTTTAGCATCAAGTCCATTTCACAGTGATAATTTGCATAGAATTTTGAAAAAATAAACAGAAATTAAATACAAAAAAAGATATCCTAATCTTAAATAAAGCATTACTACATAATATATACCTTCTATCAATTAAGATTTCATTATTGGAAAAAAATATGGTCTGTACTGAAGTAAAAGGTGCTTCGAATTTACGATTGCATGAAATAAAAATACATTGAACTGCCTTTACGTGCAGATTACCATATGTTTATGTTGTTTTTTACTAGGTCAACTACTCCCATGCTACAAGGTTAAAAGGATTTGTGAGGTTGGATATGAAATATCTTACTCCCTTCTTCACTAGACGGTTCACGCATCAGGTTAGTTGCTGGTAATATTAAATATTTATAAAAAAAATATTATCATCATCTTATTAATGTCTCCACTGCTGAGGTACAGGCCTTCCTAGTGTTGCCAACTCTACTATATAATATAGTATCCTACTATATTAGGGGATCAAATACTATATTTCTATAAAAAATATAGTAGGCGAAACTACTTAAAGCCAGTAAAAGCTTTCTTAAAAATAAAAACTTGAATTATTAAGGTATAGAGCAGCAAAAACATACTCATATCAAAAATGAAGTAAACGTTTTAACCACATGCTATATTTTTTCCATTTTTTTGCCATCTACTATATTTTTAGAGGTAATAGCTTCGAAAATACTATATTTGATAGAAAAAAAGTTGGTGACCCTAGGCCTTCCCTATGGATAGAATAGGGAGATTGGGCCATGACCCACCACGCGGATCCAGTGTGGATTGGTGGGTGCTAACGACTACAGATGCAGCCGGTAACAACATCTTAACGTGCCTTCCGAAGCACGGAGCTCGAGATAGTAAATTATTGGTCACCCATCCAATGACGGACCACTGCGAAAGTTGATTAACTTCAACGATCGCAGCCGAACGTGCTAACTACTTGCGCCATCGAGCCCCTCTAGTCCTATTCCATCAACGTTATTAAAGATGATTTGATTTGCCTGTGCTGGATTCGAAGTAAAGAAAAACATATAATACTCGTACGGCAGCTACTACCATTACCGTTCGGTAAAGGAAAACATATAATCACCCATCCAATCAGACCCGTCTTTCCCAGTGGGCACTTTGGGCAAGTGCCCAGGGCCCCGCGATCAATAGGGGGCCCCCTCAGATCAAATACAAAGTCCCTAGTTATAGGGGCCCCATTATCCTAATATGCCCAGCCCCTCTAGCATGACCACCGAAACGGGATATGATAAAGCGGTATATCGACATTAACTGTCAGACTACTGTCAAACTCCATTGTAGTCTGACAGTTAATGTCGATATATCGCTTTATCATATCCCGTTTCGGTGGTCATGCTAGAGGGGCAGGGCCTCCAATAGGTCAAAGATGGCACTGCATCCAATTATCGACCACTGCGAAAGTTGATTAACTTCAACGATCCCGCTAAGCGCTAACCATAGAGCTCCTAAACTTCCATTTGGGGTTTCGGAGAAGTAAAAGTTTATACTTGTTATTTATATCAGGAGCTCAAGGATTGCAAGAGCCAGATGACGGATCTTACCAACCAATGGTATCAAGCGATTAGAATAACTAACGATCGTGAAACTGACGAAGATGACAGTTTAGAGCCAAGCTCACTGTCCAACTCTCGAAGCAGTTTACAAAGAGGAGTATAAATTATGTTTATTAGCAAATTTTCATTTTATTCTAGCACAGTAATCGTGATTTAATGTATTTTATAACACTACATTCACTATCAATAAAATTGATTTTACGATATACGCTGCCATAAGATGACTATTATAATTTTCGTTGTTCAGTCGTGTGTGTATATTACATAATAATTATGTACCTATTTATGTTTGACAGTTGAAAATTCTTAAGCTAGCACTGAGAGAAGTCAATGAACTTTTAAGTTTAAAGCTATTAGTTTCTTTGTGATAATAATAGAATATGAATACGTCACTTGATGAAGCGTTAAATTTAATTGCCGACTCTCGAGTGCAGAATAGCGCCGTACGCTTTTTGATAGACCAGCCCACCTAGCAACGCGATATAGCTCGTTTTTATCACGCTCAATTATTAAATTACTACGGAGTTTGACAGTTAGGCGCTATAAAAATACGTGATATAATGTTAATTGTGGTGCTGATTCTACGGGGACTGGGGACGTATTATTAAATTTTTAACACGAGGCAAAAACAGAAGTGGGATGCCATGATAACCTGTGATATCACAAAAACATAAATTACCTAGTATTATTAGTTTACATGGTCTCTGACAAAGCGAAAGAAAGTACACAATTATACATTTCATAGCAGAAAATTTATTTGGCCAGAAGGCGATTGATATTGATGCTAATATTTATTTTAAATGTATGTTATAACGATATTTAGTCTGAATTGTGATAGTATATATATGTATTTAAGTCTTTGTACCTATTACAGAGCAAGAAGCATGCAGGACATGCAGTATAAATAAAATGGTTACTTATTAATTTTTATTATAGAAGGTAAAAACATAATTTTAATAATATACTGGCTGTTAAAAAAGACAGTGGTTGGAGGAATAGAATTTGATGATGGCAAACTTTACTGAAAAACAACATTCCTATATAAGTAGGAATAATTAAAACTGAATTTAAAGATTTTTGACAAATCACCGGGCATCAAGCAGTTGAATTGTGAAAAACAATCATAGAAGAATTGAAAACCGAACTTCACAATATTATTTTTATATCACCATAACTCGATAAAAGGCTACACGTAGCGACTTCAGTCGAAGATAACGTCTGTGGATACGTGAAAGTGAGTCTCATTTTGAGCCAATTCATAAGTAAACTACGCTCTTTTGGTCGGTAATGAGTAAGCTTTATAATAAAAAAATCTTGGTCTTTCTTTAAGTTGCTTCCTATGTTTAAAAGAAATTCATCTTTATGATTGACTCTTTCGGTTGGTATTATAAAATGAATGTTTGCAGGATGTTTTTTTTCACTGGTTCGATAACCGGCTCAAGCTCAGGGTTGATTTTTAAAAATCTTTATATGTAATTTTAATTATTTTTGAAAATAAATGCGTGTTTCCTTTTAGTAAAGTTTGCCAAAATCAATCAATATTAAGGGTACTTTTCCTCTAACCACAGTCTTTTGTTTCCACCCTGTTAGTATAATTAATAACAAAAAAAATATGCTTATTACTATGAAATTATATTTTATTCTACTAATACACACATGAAAAAAGTCTAAGCAACACACATCATTCATTGAAACTGTATTTTTCTATTAATTGTTGATTCATTTTTGTAATAGCAAAGTAGATTGGTACCTATACAATATATGTTGTTCTTAAAAATATAATTGGCTGATTTTAATGGATAAAAACTTTTCGATTGTGTTTTTAATAGTATGTTATAAATATAATACAATAGTAAAAATGTTTAAAACCGTACAACATGTTCATTGTGACTTTTTTGATTAGTATATTATAAAGAAGTTTGTATGTTGATTACTCGAATCACGCAAAAACTAATGAACGGATTTGGTTGAAATTTGGTGCGCAAATAGCTTATGACCTGGATTGAGACATGTATCCTGTCTCAATCCAGGTCATAGCTATTTGAGCGGTTGCTTTTTTCAACTCAAACTGATTCAGGGTTTTATTTCCGTTTGAGTCTTTGAAGAAGAAATAATTTGCACTATAGTTTAACAAATTTGTGGAATACATTTTTATCGTGACCAGTTTGAATTTTTCATTTTCTATGAGTAACATACAATAAGGTGTCCAATCACAGCCAAATTTCTTACTTCAGAACGGTCAAAATACATAGTAGGTACTAATTTTTCTGTGTGTTGGCCCGTCCAGTATACAATTATTTAACTGATTACTAGGTTAAGGTTTATCCACAAACTTTTTAACTTAATTTTATGACTGTCCTAATAAATTACTTCAGTATTCACGATATTAAAAAAAAATATAATTATTAATATTAAGTACTGTCACCCTGAAAACTTTATATTTATTACTTACCATTGTATTTTGTTAGTCTGTCGTATTTCTTAATTTAAATAAACGTTTTTACAGCTAGTACAACAAAGTAACTAGTACCCATGTATTATGAATGTGATTAATATTTTTAGTGTGTATTATGTAAGCACAATAAATTGTTTTTTTCTGTATTTTATTCATAAGTCAACATTTATATAAATGAGTTATTGCTTTTTCTAGCTTTAATATTTTATTTAGTCATAAACATAATGAAATTGTGTTGTAAAAACCAGAGATTTGTATCAGTGTATAAGTATTATGCCTTAGTTAACAGAATGTAAATACATAATCTTTTATTTTCTATCATTTGCTTATAATTTATAGCAAGTGTTTGTGGATCAGTCAACTGTTAGTTAGTACTTATTATCTTTGAACGACATTAATTAGAATACATTTTTCTGCATTGTATGTACGTGTAGGATAGTTTAATACTGCCAGTAAATGACACGAGTACTAAACAACTGCGATTTTATCAGGCAATAGCTTCGTAATAAAAGCAGATAAAACCATTCCTTTGGTAGACACTGGTGTCGATTCTGACATGAAACTCTAAACTTAAAACTAAATTTAACATCAGTCTCTCCTTTTGATTCTGTATAGCGAATGACAAGGATACACTGTTCTCAAATTTAAGTTTAGGTTTAAAGAATCATGCCAGAATCGATATCAATATCCAGCTAATGTAAACTTAGTTTGCAATAAACGATTGACTATTGACTAGATATCAATAGAAAGAAATTGTTTGAAAACTTGGTTTATAGCAGCCTTTCCCAAAGTGCGCGATAACTCCTCCTTGTGGGCTTTATATCACAGATTAGACCAGTGCGTAAAGTCAGTCAGTTTTCTAGATCCATCTTAACAGGGATTCGGAATTCGGATCGGAAGTAATGCGAAACCGCTCTAACGGTGCCACCACCTCTGACCGCCATACTGATTTTATTTTACGTTTATAATGTTGCTACTCACTTTACAACATGAATAAAAAATAAGCTAACTTTGTATTTGAGGGGATAAATAGGGCTGACGTCAGTGCAGCAGCAACATCTCTGTATTTCGAGATACCAGTTATTTCGATTACAAACAAAACTTAAGCTAGACTAATACTCAACAAATACTGTGCACTAAGTCACAAGAGGCCAGGGTGCTATACTTTATCTTTGTTTCAATATTTTTAAATTAGATGACCTAGTACTTGGAAGTTTGTAAGTACACATTATTCTTATTATTTGACAGGTCCTTTTGCTATACTAGATATTGTTGCATTGAAAATACAGAAAATAAGCCTAATAGTTTAAATAGATCTGGGATCCTGCTTTAGATTAAACCAAAAAGGAAGATACGGTACATTCATTCGAGCATTAAATAAAATACGCTCCGACTCAACTACATAAGCAACTCTAAAGCACGCATACTTCTGTAAACAAACATTCAATCGAGCGAGCGAGACAGAACTGTACGCTTCAACGTAGTACGAGCGAAACGGCGAGCCCGCGTCGCTTGGCTTGGCGTCTGCGTTTTCTTTTCTCTCTCTACAAACGGCTGAGCTGTATTGTTGTCCTTTTCTTGATAACAAATGGTGAATATTTATATAACATCACGAGAAATCGTGATTTCTGTGAAAAAGTTTTTATGATGAATAAAAAATGTTGTTGTGTAATTTGTTATTTGATATTGAACTATTTGTTCTTTAAAAAAGCATCGAAGTCATTGTTTTGTCTTTATCTTTAAACAGAATATACGCAATATTGTTATATTGAGTGCACATGCAGCGTGTTTGAATATCCAAATGTAAGTAAAGCAAATCATGGTTATGCACCACAATTTAAGTGGTACACTTTTGAGCCGTGAGTGCTGTATCTTCCCTTTTTGTTTTAGTCTAAGGATCCAGGTAATGTAGTGTAGTTTGCTCAGGAAGATCCCATAAATATTTCCTATTCCACTGAAACATTTTATAAAACACTGTTTATGAAAAATATTACATACCCATTTTATTGTGGGTCTGTTATTTTATTCTTTTATAATATGTTCCTACTTTGCTTTCAAAAGCAATTTTTGTACATTATAAATATAGGTGGCATTTGAATTTATTATTATGAGTATTCCTAGTATTCAACAAACTGGATATCTAACTGTGTGTAGAAGAAAATTGTAGTACATCTTTAGAAGTTTGAATATATTGTTTAACTCCTCTATTCATCACACTTTTATCAAGGTTTAAAAAGAGACTAGTTCAATGTTAATAAAACTGTTTAATAGAGGCAGGCCTGTGATAGTAAAAATATATTAAAAATTTGTCATTTGAAATATTTTTTCACTACAAAGCACATGAAATCTAAGCATAAGTAACAAAAATAACATGATTATATCAGAGGATGTCTTATTTACTTTGTTCATAAGGTTATTACACAATCATTATAGCCAGTTGCTATAAATGTAAATTTTTTTGCTCAATAAATTATGTTGTTCCTTGTAAGAGTAGTTTCATTCTTCTTCATTTTCTAAATTGATGTGGCTCCCAAATTTGCCATATAAATGTGATTTCAATTCACTCATTTGGGATTTCAGTTCATCACACTTATGTTTTAGTTCACCTATCTCACCTTCCTTTTTAGCTTTAGCATCTTCCAAAGATTTCTGAAATAGGATAATTACTAATTATATACAAATACTGTACATAATCTTAACAGATTAATAAATATATATATATATATTTATTTATAAAGTAGCATGTTGTTCTGATATTTGAAGAAAACTAATCAAGTATTGATGACATTTAAAACTGAAGTGACCGATTCCAAACATATTGCTAACAAGCAACAACTTATTCAGGTTAACTTGCCTAAATAAGTTTGTTTCATCCAGATTAACTTTACACTTGTTCAAGTATTATTTCAAACATGATGATTGGGAAAATAAGCAGTCTCCAAAATTAATTAAAGGACAATGCCCATTTTTCTTAGGAGATCCGTACCGACTTGCATCAAACCAAATTTACTCTCAGGAGTTAAGTTTTTATCTAACTTTTTACTATTTAAAATATTTTGTCAATGTTTAACCACATTTTAGAGAAAATTACATTAGTTGGAAAACAGACAGCAAACGAACAACGGCACTTCAAAGACACTGTCTCGATAATCCACAAAAAAGAGTCGCTATCTCATCACTGTTAATACTTATTACAGGCGTTGTGAATAAATTAAATGATAAAACTACCAGATCGACTCAAACGAAGCAAGAATATCATTGATCAAACAAACAAAACAAACATCATCACAACGAAATTGACATTGACACTGGCAGTTCCATAATTAAGCGTTCCGAATCGCCATGAATGTATATTTTGAGTTTCGAAAATACGCAATGCTTACTTTATGAAATGGTAAGATAAAATAAAATTATATAAAAGAATTACATATTTTATTTTCTACTTTAAAATCTTATTTACTTATACAACGGCTAAAGCTAATAAGGCGAACAAAGATTTTTATGTTCATTGTTAAACCTCAGAAATAACAGACAACAGTTATCGGAACGTGCAAGATTTCAGAAATGAACTTTTATTTAATTAATGTAATTTTTTGCGGAAGTAGGTAATTGCTAATTATTAAACATCATTTATCTGATTTTTTAAATGTGGTTAATAAAAACGGTTAGATGTTACTACATAATACATATAAATAAAACATTATTTTCGGTGTTAATATATCTATGACGCAATATGGTATGGGGTATGGGCATTGTCCTTTATTTCATATACTTTAGCAAACAATTACGAATTAATAGCACAGCTTTTTATTTGCATAACCAGAGCCTGACATGTTTTTTAAAATTCTGCTATGCTATCAATAACAGTAGTTAAGTATTATTTACATAGTTTCGAGAAAATTACATTTAGTTTTTGTTGAAATTTTACTTATTCGGACTTTCTTTAGTTAATGTCCCCACTGCTGGGACACAGGCCTTTCCTATGGATGGAATAGGGAGATAGGACACATGCATACCAGCACTTAATTAATGTTACCCATATGGTCTTTTTTATTTTGGAATTGTTAACTTGTATTGATAACAGATTTAACTTATAAATGGCAAAACACCTAAATTATTGATACAAATTATTAGTTTCATTGAACTAAAAATATGGCCGTCATATTGTAGAGCTCATTCTGAATCAATATTTAACTCAATTTCGACAAAAAAGGACTTACTGCTCTTAAAGGTAGCACAACAAAATTGTGGTATGTAATAAGCAATATCCTTCCTTACCAATGTATTGTCTAGACTTTGACAAATAAACACTTCTCCAATCAAGCAGGGTATCGTTTCCGAATCGTCGGTAAGACTTAGTTCCTCAACCGCTTCCTCCAAGTTCTTCATGTCATTTTGTTTTACCTTCAATTCATCTTTTATATCATCTACTTTTGCGTTTAGTCTAGCAAATTTATTGATTTTTTGTTGGTCTTCATAAGAAATATGAACATCAGAGTCCTAAAATAAGGAAAAAATGGGATACTAATAACAAATATAGTCATCTGGTTAACCTTAAAAATGTCTACAGATTGTTAAATGATAGAAATCACTTACAGGTTGAAAAGTTCCCTTGCCGGAATTAGCCATAGCCGTAAAATTTGATGGGTGTCTATTTAAAACAAGGTTATTGAATTACTTTTGTCGTATTTTCTTGGTCACAATCTCGTTAAAAATTACTACTCTCGCTCGAGTTATGTTGTTGTCGGTCTCGTCTATTCTGTCACACAGGGGCTTTTCACTTCGAACTACAATTATTTGTATGGACATCACAGAACGAATTTTAGATAAGTAATATTTCACTAGATGGCGTTATTCAGATCTTTTTTACGTATGGTATTCCTCCAACTTCATATATATTTTTAAACAGTAACACAAAATTATACCTGTGGCTGTCAGTGACTGTAACAAAAATCAAGAAAGAAGAAATACAGTTTATCAGCATATATTATTTACAACATATTTTATTTTGAAATAATAAACTAAAGAATTGGCTGTATGGGCACAGTACCCTTTGCCTACCCAGAATGGGTAAAGAATCTAAAAAAAAACAACTGTAACAAAAAAAAAACTGTTCCGTTTACTTTACGCTTCGTGAATTTAATGTTTTCTTGTGATTTTTGGTGGTTTTTCCGATGATTTCAGCTATTTTTACGGACTCCGATTCTCCTGTTTTTACGTTTTGACCCCTGCTCTTCATATCGGTTATTGGTTGGCTTCACTATTTGGATTTCCCAGAGAAGATATTGTGTGCCTAATTGCAATGTAACACGTATGTATTACCAATCAGTTACATATAATTGAACCTCTATAAACAATCCTTTCTTGATTTAACTATTTGACCAAATGTTTCAGGCGCAGATAAAATACCAATGCAATCGTTTTCTAACCCTGACATTCACCCCGATCGATTCCGAACTTGGCTTCCGCTGTCAGAGGAGAGATATAAGCTATGGACAATAATTATTTTTTCAAGCAAGGAATAGTTTGTCAAAAACATTTTGAGACCAAGTTTCTTACTTGGACTAGAACACTTTCTCCACATGCTGTCCAACTTTACATTTGCCAGGTAAATTTCTGATTTCAAAGTTTTTTAAAACATCGAGTAAAGAGTGTATGTAATGGTCTCTTAATAAAAATCATTGAGTTGAATGTGATTTTTATATAAATTGCTAAATATTTTTTTATTATCTGGATTTGGTGCACCAAGGAGTGTTCCAACGGATGTCACCAACAGAATGGATATTGACCAAGGAATTCTCAGCTTTCAATGCCTTCTACATCCACTAGTAAATATTTATTTATTTATTTACAAATCATTTTGACATTCTGGTAGAGTGGAATGTGCACTGGTTGTCAATGCCTACTGTAAAGTTCGGGGTTCGGATCCTGGTAGGGGCAAAATTCTTTTTGAATGTTTGAATGGAAGCATCAAATTTCAGACATACAAATTAGTAAAAACTTTCCCTTATTCTCTTTTGTTTTAATATAAAAATTTTTTGCAGGTGGTGTTTTGACTGAAAAGGTAGAATTACAACAAAACGCTGTAAAGAAATCGAAGATACTAAGTAAAAATAAGCTTACCGGTAATTTTTATTTTTATATAAGTATTTTTGTCTATTAAAATTATTTGATAATTTTATTTACTTTAAAAAAAATATATCAGAAATATGTTATCTATATTTTAAAGAGCACCTATCCCAATCATCTTTATTCTTTTGTTAGCTTTTTTCTTAAACTTACCTGTATGGGCTTTAGTCATGTTTTAGTAAATAAGTAGACATTACATAAGGAAATGAACCTTCCACTTAGTTTTCTTATACTAATAATTAGTTAAAAAAAATTGAAGACTTCTCACCTCACAATGATACTAATTTTATTGAAATGCTTTTTTTCAGCATTTGCAATGGATCAAAGTGTAACTAACTTAAAAAAAGTGGTGAAGAAGCTAACTGAAAAGAATCTCAAATATACAACACGGCTAAAGAAAGCAATGAAACTTTTATGATAGATCCGACTTGTAGATTTTTTATATATAACTGGTGTGGTTAGGTAAATAAATTATTAAACGGCACCATAAAGGTGCGTAATTGTACAAATTTTAAAGATGATATTAAAAGAATGGCATGCAAATATTTAAAAATATAAATAAAAATAATTGATTTACCACACTTCTTTATTTATTCTAACCGACTGTGTTAAAGTTACATTATTAGACAATTATCAAAAAAAAACTGTGTAAACGAATAGTAGATAAATTATCTAATAATGTAGCTTTAACACAGTATGGTTTTTTCCTTTTTTCATATTAATAATCGCATCTAAAGCTGCCGGTACCGGTTCAGTAGTACATGACTTGTGATTATGTCATGAATCGCTAGATGGCGCTGTATGCTCAGGTTAACTGATATTTCTATTACTAGTATATAATGTACTATATGGTCACACCTTCCTGTCACCCTGCTACAGGGTTGCCAACTGTAGTTTTTTTTCTCGTACATAAGCAGCTAAAAATCTAGTAATTTGGCTTTGGAACCTGGTACCACGGACCTAAAAAAAAGACGGACGTAACCTCGTCTAATCACGAGTGAAGTAGGCTTGTTGAAAATATATCGATGTATCGATATTTTTTGTTCGATAAATCGATATTTTTTGCGAATATATCGATATTTTTTGCCGATATATTTTGATTCGACATATCGATACATCGATACAAAATAACCAATATCGAAATTCGTATCAAAAACGATATTTTTTTTTAATTATTAGCGGCATATCACGATCTAACTGAATTCGTATCTGGAAAAATCGTAACTGGATCTCAGATAAATGATATTCAACATATTTATGATCTGTGCTGTATTTAGTATTGTCTATTATTTGTAAATCTGTTTCGCTGGTGAGTTGGTTGTGCTGATTTCCATTATATTCTGTGGAAGTGTGTGACTCTCTAGTCTTGTTTACGAAAGATGGCACATGAGAGGCCCTGCAATCATTTTCATAATTCGAAAATAGGGTCTATTTTTAGGGAGATAATTTTCGTTCCATTATTATTCCGCGTGTCATATTTCGTGAGATACTGTACTGTCATGTAGTGTAGCGGCAATTTGGTACTTTGAAAATAATTCTTTCTTTGATTATAATTTGTATTGAACTATTATTACTATGCTAGGCTGACCTAAATATATTTTTGGTAAAATTGTTCCGATATATCGATGTTTTTTTCGCGATATATCGAAACCGATATTGATATTTTTTAAAATATCGATGTATCGATATATCGATATTTTTTTCAATTTTCGACATCCCTAGAGTGAAGCATGCAAATGGCCACCCGTTTACCGTGTTGCGTGATTTGAGGGTTGTCATATAAGTCATTAATTTTCCTATTTTTTAAATGTCTCAAACTAAAATATTGTTAACACTATGTAGGTAATCCCGTTATTGTAATATGTATATACTATAACGGGATATTTACCATGTTTTTATTAGATGTGAGCTCCCGATATTTCAGCAATTTAAACAGGTGCAATTTAAAAACATAATGTTGGCCTATTAAATATCATTTTTATGACTACCGTTAGAAAAATGAAAACACTTACGCTACGTATAAAGAAATTTATTATTTACATAAAAATTAAGTATCTGGTTAATATCATACATTAATATAGGTACCTAAATCGCGCAGATTAATGCTTAAAATAAAAATATAATAGACTAATATTATTATTTCTTCTTTCAAATGTAAGTGTTGCATTCATAGATTTAGTAGGTATTTAAAGACTGACAGAGTGAGGAAAAGAGATATGTCGACATGGGGACAGGAACTTCAGAAAACTGTCAACCCTTGCTTCTGAAGCATTCGTATTCTTAATAAACGGTATCAATTAGCATTACGGTATGCTAATTGATACCGTTATCAAATTACCTCTGGGATATTTACTGGTAATTGCAGAGCAGAAATTTAATTTAATTTATTATGTCTTTTAAAATGTTATGATGCATGCTTAACATTCGATGGTCATTCAAGTAATTTAACAGTAATGAAGTTATTGGGATGTAAAATAGATAACATATATGAATTAAAGACCTCCTTTTAAAATCTTGCAGAAGGATCGGATGTGGCTGTATTTTAGATCCTGTCCATATGTTTAAGCTTATAAGTAATAATTGGGAAGCTAAAAAAGTGATTCAGATTGCAGTAATAAGGAAATTCAATGGAATCTATTTTGTCAGTTAAATAAACTTCAAGAAAAAGAAGGATTGCATTTCGCCAACAAGCTTACACGAAAACACATTATGCCAAATGCTTAGAAATAATCTTAACCGGGTAGTAATTGAAAAATACTTAGACATAAGATTTAATTGCTTATCTAAATGCAAAACACTTACCCCCTTATTAATAAACAAGGAATACGCTTAGACTAGTTATGCCGTGTTTTGTTCATGTCACTCAAATGAAATTTGTCATTCAATAGACAGAGACAAAACATGGAGTAACTAATCCATGCGTAGTCTTCGTTTATTAATAAGGGGGTTAAAGTTAGTTGCGGTTCTAAACACAAACATCCTATATCTATGGTTTCATTTGACATTGTGGTTTACCTACATAGCGAAGAAATGACACTACCGTGCAGTCTAAGAAATACAAGAAGAAATTCGTCACGATCATTAAATGAGTCTCGGTATCATAGCAATTAGTGCATCCACCCGGACAGCAGAAAACGCAGGTTCATTCCTGCCTATAATTCATTTTGTAATAATTTAGTTGTCGTAATTTACTTTCAAAAGCTTATTTGTGTAGTAGTTCTGTTAACGGGTTTCAATTGTATTTTTATACATTTTCCGCCGTTTCGGATTCTCTACAGGCTCCGGTTTGAACAAAGAAAACGAAGCAAGTAAGGATCAAATAAATAAGGAGATGATAAAAGATAATAATAAGTAAGGATTCAATTATAAACAAATAGTACAAATACAGTATCTCATACTTACCCTTTTTTGAATGGCGTACGGAACCAAACAACGTAGCCCCTTAGCTGTATTTTTAAAATCTAAATCATCAAAATGTGCACTGCACACAGTACTGGCAGGTGATGGGTTCCAATTGTTATCCCCTCTGCAGTATCGAATAATTAAAACCCAGTCACTTCTACGGTTTCCATTTTTAGGAAACCTAGTAGAAAGGAGGCAATACAATAATTTATATAGAAAGAAGAAAGAAAGAAAAGAAAATGTGTGAAGTTAAATCAAGTCGTTACATAAATATCTAATGTATCTAAATTTTATAGTATACTAGCACTTATTCAAAAAGTCATCTTTTGTTTATGTTCTTTTTAGTTGTTTAGCAGTAAATATAAAATTCATTTACTTTTATTCGTCGACTATTTAAAATTGACAGTGGCAGCATTGTCATGTCAACGCCCGGCTCTAAGATTGTGATATACACAAATGCAGTGTCATATCCTAGTCTCATAATTTGATATACCTACATAATTCATAGAAACTCAATATGTAGATGCCAGAAAAGAACTTCAAATGTTGTATTCACCCTATAACCAATCAATGACGTTTATGTCGCATATTGCAAATAGTGCATTCATGTGCAATTATTATACAAATATTTTTTTTGTATAAAAAAAATACCGATTAACGTACCACTGTCAAGCACATATACTAAGTAACTTTTACAAATATAATCAAAATACTATTATCCTAACTATCTATACTAATATTATAAAGAGGCAAGATTTGTATGTTTGTAATAAATAATATAATATTATAGATGCGAAAGTGAGTTTGTTTGTTGCGCTTCCGTGCCCTAATAGCTAAATGGATTATAATGAATTCCCTTACAGAAGTAGATGGGAACTTGGTTCTTAGCTACAACATCGCAATACTTATAGGGTGATGAACGGGGTGATTTACCTATATTAATCTATATTATTTACTTTGAATTTTGCAGAATTATCGTTTATAATTACAAAACCAATATTACCGCGAGCAGATTAATAAATACAGGGATTCCAATAAGTATGTACCTACTAGCGAAAAATGGATTATTTGTCATTATATTAAGTAAACCTTTTTTGTAACATTAAGTAATATCGTTAAAAAAAATTAAAAGCAGTATAATTCTGCGTTTTTCATTAAAATTCAATAATCATAAATACTTATTATATTTCATCATTTAATAAGAAGGAACTGTGTCACAGTTTTATTGTAAGTACTTCATATAGGATTAGGTACTGCTAGTAGTCCATTTTTTTCTTTTTCGATAAGGTTTTATCCACGTTTATAAACACCTATATTAAATTTCTTCTCTTAGTATTCCCGCTGTCTGCTCCTACATTGTACACCGCGCTATCACTTTGTCATCGTTGTAACTTTTTAAATATTTGTCGAAATGACATAGTGTAAGGGCAAAGCTTATCGTCTTTAAATGTCAAAAGCGAGTTTGGTCTCTAGTGTGCCACAAAGGAACAAACATTAATAAGTCCATAGACGGAGTTTGTTGGAAGTAGAAGTGCACAAAATAGATATGGATAATTGGAAAAAGATGATACTTTTATATTTAACAATTTGCGATGAAGAAATGGAAGCAGAAGATAAAGCAACGCTTCCTCGCACCACATTAATGCGCATTTTCACAGCTCCGCTACACATCCTCGTAGGCACATTTTCATCGCACAGCTTTGGTGGAAATCCCCACACATTTTCACAGCACAGCTAGACATCCTCGCACGACACATTTCCATCGCATATCTCTGGTATCAGCCTTACTCTCGGAATTCGAATAACTTAGCTTAACTAAGTCAGTCGAATTCTGTGACTAATTTAGATAAGTACCAATCAGACAACGCATTTTTTTGTTAGTTGATTATATTTGTCACGAATTATAAATTTTTGTTATTATTCCTTATAAGGTTAATTATTATTGGTAAGAATATAAATTGTGTTCTATAGTTTTTTGACTAATTAGCTTGAGTACTTATAATAAAGTATTACGATTTTTTTCATTAAGAGAGCAATCATTCCGGAAACGTTTAGTACGTCTCACGTACAATATTATTATACTAAAAAAAGTCGATCGGTGAATGCAACGGTGGCGAGGCGAGCTTACCCTAGAGACAAAAGTTTTGTGTACGAATTTAGAAAAACATGAACAAAAATGGTTGTATACAGTACAACAATTTTTGTTAATAATTACGAAACCTATTTTTTTTCATATGTTGCGACTGAATATTATTATTAATATGCACGTAGGGTCTGGAACAGATTTTACCTTTGTACGAACAGCTTTTTACTGTTCTAGCGCACTTAATTGCGTATTTTTGTTAAGTTAACGGCTTTTCTATATGTCAAAACGTACTGATGGACTTCTTATAAACCTTACTGTATTTATTTATTTATTTTTCGGAAGATCAACAGCTATCAATAAACAAATTAGATCACTGATATTATTTTACAGAGCCAATTACATACAGGTCTTCACTAATAAACTACTTAAGTAGACGAGAACATAAGCTGTTTAGCAGTAACTATGAATAATATTTATCGTAATATAGAATAGTTAGGAAAAAAGTGTAGATCGCCGGTAGTGTCACCTCCACATCGCCATGACTGCATGCGCTCGCGCCGACCCCACCACGGCCTACGCCTCCGCTGCCGTTCACTCACGCGCATTTCTACTTCGACTGTCAAACATCGCGCGCGCAGTTCTGAAAGAGTTTAATTTTATTTTGTGAAGAATTATTAACGTGATGGAGAAGGAGCACCAACCCGACTCCATGGCCACCATAGCTATGAAACCCGAGTATCCGCCGTCCGAGGTTTACAGCGCATCGGAACCGCCGCCGGTATGAGACACCCGTTATTTGGTTCACTTTATGTTAAGCACGTAAGAAGACCTACTTGTCATATACCGATGATCTAAACACCGCACCTCTATCTCGAATAATAACTAAGGTCCAACGGAAAAACCACAGAATCGAGATTAATACTCATATTTTTGCAAATAGAGTACTAATAATATTTGTAACAATGCCAAAGTATGATATTTTCAATATTTTACGGACAACAAAAAAATTCATTGAAATGATAAAAGTGTAATTATTTTTATTTTTTCGGTAGATTAAGTTTATACTGTTGTTTTTTCTATTTCTTTTCCTTAAAATGAAAGCCTGCAACCACTTTAATTTATCAGAGTTATCCGTTACCTGGTCATCGACTTATCTCACGGCAAAGATTTAATATAATTATAGATAGAATCGACATAATCGTGTTGGTGGCTAAATGCAATTTAAGTTGTGGAAAGCGCCTTTCTCTCGGCTGCAGCGGCCGCTGACGCGTATCAGCTGTTTGTAAACACCGGCAGAGCACGGTGCTAAAGACAATACAACCATTATGAGCGACTGAGTTAAAGAGTTAAGCTTAAGTAGACTATATGATTTCAACTAAAATATCCTTTGATTCCTTTAACAAATGGGCCAAGATGAGATTGCCAGATATTTTATTGACCCAATTCACGATAAACCAAAATATACTTAAGGCCCTATTTTATATGCAATCTTGAATATTACGTATTGTTATGAAGTAAAGCTAACTAAAATAATAAACCAGTCTTTTGCTTTAAAAGATTAGTGAAATTTTAATTTAAAAAAATAACAATGAAGACCGTTTTTCTTCTTAATTACTCAGCAGGAGGTATACCTTTTCACAATCAAAGTGTAAGGCATAGCAGGTAATTTTACAAAGGCCATTATGTAAAATTAGTTAATTATAAATCCCTCTTTCACTTTCATTGGTTACGTTTAACGATTTCATCGCCGATTGCCTTTCTTTTATTGCATGCACTTTATAAAGATATTTCTATTAATAAGATACATAAATATATACAAAATCTACCTATTAAGGAATACTTTTCGAAAGTATATGATTAGATATATATACATGATCTTGTCATAAATATTATGACAAGAAAATGATTTTTTGACGTGACAACGTCTTAAATTAGGTTGCGGCTGGGAGTCACTTATGAAAAAGTGTAACGCTCGGTAACGTTACGATGAGTTTAAGTTTACATGTACAATGTTTTAGTAAACAAAATATATTTCTATAGTTAAAATTTGTGCAATTCTTATTTTCATTCAATTCCTTGTTCCTATTGTGCAATTTAATTATATTCATATCAATAAATATTCTACCGAGAAAAAGACGTTGTCACGTAAAATCTTCGCCCGTAAAACCGACTTTACAGGCAACCATTTTTTTTTTCACCAAAACATTTGTTATTGTTATGTGTGTCTGTTTATATATTAATATCATAACATTAAAAAAATACGAAGCTCATTCAAAAAGATCTCCATTGGCATTTAATTCAGTCTTTTAAACGTTAAGGTCAATAGAAATATGCACAGCTCTCTGGGACTCCAAATTATCCAGTCGTTTACAACATACCATGATCACTCAACTGACCGTAAATAATTATCCAGCGATTAAGATGACACTAGATGACGGTCAGTCTTTAACTTTGATGAAGTCCGAAACGTTCTTTTATAACCACGTTTAGGTGGATCAAGCTTTATGACCCGACGCTGAGTCTTGCTGTAAAGACCATTCTTGGTTATGGAACATAGTGTTGCTAAGAAGCTTAGCTACCTTCTTAAGAATTGATGCATGAGCCGATGTTTAGACACCATTTTCCCAAAAAAATGCGCTGTCACTACTTGATAGCTAACACTTCGCCAAACCATCACTGAAGTCGGATAATGTCCACGTTATACTCTGTTGACTAATATGGGAAGCTTCTATAGAGCTTCGAGCATAAACTCGATTATTTCGCCCTTTAAAACATAGGTCAATTGTAAAAATCTCATCAGTAAATAAATATTTTACCCTTCGACGACAGAAAAACCTCCCTTTGCGTATCGCATAAGAAGTTGCTTTAATTAAACCACCCTATTCATTTTTAAGTTATCAGTTAAATAATGATCAGTACGTCTCTTATAGCCTGCAAGTCCTAAGTCTTCTTCAGCGACATGGTCCTGGGTGCTATATTCATTTCCCGAGATAAAATCTTTGCTTTCGGACAGCATTGCTTCGAATTCTTTTCTTCTGCTTTGATCGTCTTTTTTGTACTAGTATTCGTCCGAATCATCAACGACGTGGACAACCAGATCTTTTGCCGTCCTGAACAGAGGAAATTTTATTATACCTTTATCATTATTCCGATACACAAACATTCGACTAATACCAACTAAACGAAGAGTTTAAAAAATTGCATTTGGTTCCAGTTGCATGCCAACTTTGTGTAATGTTATGCTATCGTAACAACTCAGTTCACTTTATTTTCCCACTCCATTTTACTAAGACAAAAAATATTAACACCGATTGATGCGAAATAAAGAAAACAATGAATATTGAAAAGGAATATTCTAAAGAAAATTTTACTAGAAAAAAATCCACGCGGTCCAGGTTGCAGACGGGTCGGAACACCTAGCTGTTAAATGCTTATAAAATTAAATTATAATAATGAATATTCATCTAAGAATGATAGATTTTGAATTCTAATGTAATATTATGTTTTTTTTTATTGTAACTGTGTAACAGTATTCATAGCCAGACTAATATACTATAGGTATTAGTTTCCGCTAATGGGGTGTTCTGTTCCTGTATATATTTTGAAGAGCAAATATCAAAATGTTATTCTATTAAATATTGTAAATACTGAAACCTACTAAAGATATATAGAATGAACAAAAGATTAAATTTTTGCCCAATTATTAAAAAAAAACTAAATTTATACTTATAAGAACATCCTCAAAATTTCAATAAATTCAATGAACATTTTTGAAAATCTGTATTAGAATTGGCAATCAGCGTACAAAGAAGCGTTATTATTTGAACAAAATTTACCAATGCCTGAAAGATGACAGTTACTAAATACTATTGGTTTAAATTAATTTCCTTGAATGTGATTGGTTGTATCAAAAATCACGTGATTTCCGTTGCTAATTGTTACCAACTTAAAGATGCACGTGTTGCCATTAATTTAAATGTAAGAACGGCTTTTTATAAGTTACAGTGGACAATAATAAACTACATTTCTATTTTTGATAAATTAGGCGTATTTACACATGCATGATAACACGGGCAGAGTTGTATGGCAAAAAGAATGGATCCTTTGCAACGATATATTCCATCCTAAATTGGTACTTATTAAGTCGGCAGAATAATATAATTAGATAAAACCGGTTTTCAAATGGAGACCCCGCCAAAATGTTTACAAAAACCATTCGGTGAATTTGGCTGCATCTACGTAGCATAGGAATAAGAGAAAGCAGACAAAAAATTAAAACATTGTGATGGTGTTTGTCCTAACATCAACGAATTCTAAGTTAAACATGATTTTCGATTATCTAGACAATGATACCACTTGACATATTTTGTCAATAGAATAATATTCTAAGACCTAGCTAGGAATTTAAGCTAGAATAATTTCTCTTTTTTATTTCCAATAGGTATACACAAAGAAGAACCTTTCAAATTCGTTTCTATACTAATATTATAAAGCTGAAGTCTTATTTGTTTGTTTGGTTGAACGCGCTAATCTCAGGAACTACTAGACGGATTTAAAAAAAAATGTGTTGGAAAGTGCATTTATCTAGGAAGGCTATAGGCTATATAACATCACGCCACGTCCAGTAGGAAAGGAGCATCGATAAAAAAATGCGAAAGCAGGAAAAAATACATTTGAGAGTTTCTGTTGTGTGCGCCGCCTAAATGGTTAAAGTTACATAAAAACTATGTATAACGGAATTACTCCCCTTTAAAAGTTCTATAAAAAAGTCCGCAGCAGCATATGCCCATCTTTTTAAGTTTGACTCACTATAACCTTGTTCCTCAAATTGATTAATTTGAAATCACACTCATCGACTGTGAGGCGACACGAAGTTCGCCTGTTCAGCTAGTTTTCTTATAAAATCAAATAAAGCAGAATAAAGTATTATTGACAGTGACAGTTATGATTTAGTCACTTGATTGCAATAAAGATCGATTTAACAAAAATAAATGTTTGACGACCTCCTTGGCCGAGTGGTATATACACCGGGTTTGAAGGTGTATTTAAATGTTTGACGAAGTCCGTGGCCGAGTGGTACGGGTTTCAAGGCGTAGTCGCCTACTCGTGTGGTCACGGGTTCGAATCCTGTTTGGGGCAAATGTTAGTATGATGAATACGAGCATGTCTACCTAAGTACCTGTCTTATTTAGTTAAGTTAGCATGAGACATATAATAAATAGACATAGGAAAAGAAGCGCCCGCGAAGCGGCGAGTAAATAGATACCGAGAAAGCACCATAAACATAGAATTTTGAAAATTTAAGAGCCATAAATAGGTTTTCAATAGAGAACTTGAAACTAGCTATAAAGGATTAAAGCAACAGACATACACGCCACAAGTGTATTTGTCTATCTATATATGTATAAAAATCAATTGCTGTTCGTTAGTCTCGCTAAAACTCGAGAACGGCTGAACGGATTTATCTTATCTTGAAAGATCGCAGGTTTAAATGGTGAGAAAATATGGAAAAATTGCAAGGAAAATACATAGTTATAATAACAATTTCATTTTCCCATATAAACTGTTCTACATACTTTCCTGTCAAAAATGCCTGACATTAATCCGTTCCGATCAAAATTTTCAGTCATTTTAGCGAAGTGCGAGTTTTAATATCGTTAGGATAGGTGATACAAAGTACACCGGGTCATCTAGTAATTAATATATTAAAAATGTACATGTCTTATTATGACGGTTTGTAGTTTATCATTATCAATATGCATGTTCGAAACATGCCAG